CTCTTATTGATAAACAAAAATCGAGGAAAAAATTTAAAAGAAAAAAAGGATCCTCAAAAAATATATATAAAGTGTATATCCACTCGGCTATACTATTTATAAAAAATTAGAAAAAAATCGAGTATAATCGCTCGGCTATACTATTTTTAAGAAACTTTAATAAAACCGAGTATAGCCGAACGGCTATATTTGAATAGCTAAAATTGGACAAGAATGGAGCGCCTGAGGAGCATAGTGGTCATGTTGGGTCAGGCTGTTATTTGGAGATATAAATTCTGCACTTAGTGTCTAGTAAAACAACTTTCTTTTAAAATTTATAAATCGATAATGAGAGGAGGGAATCGAAAACAATACATCGGTAATGGATAAATGCGCTTAACCATTTGACATTATCACACCAACAAAGCATTGAGCTTCATGTTTAAACTAATAACCTTTCAATCAATCAAAAACGTTTCCTACACTTCGTCAAGAAAATCTCAAACTTGGCATCTATAATATCATTTGGCCGGAGCAACATAATTCTCATACTCACAGCACCCTCTAAATTTGAGAAGAAATAAAAGAATGAGAATGTCTCAATTGAGAGACGTTATTTGGGTCTCATGCACTTGAGAAGAACGTCTACAAATCTCTTGTACATGTGGCGCTTTAAGTACATCCTCTCTACTTTCTCTCTTCCTTTCAATCCCATTTGCTTCCTTGCATTTGGGCTTTTAAGCAAAAACCGGATATTTTCAGCAAGGACACGAGTTCCGGGATGCCCAACAGGATGAAGCAGACCTGTTACATTGTGTTCAACAATCTCTGTTGTGCCTCCAGCTTCTGTTCCAAGCACCTGCTCCATAAAATGACATCATTCATTTGATTCTATTCAAGGTCCGGTGCACAAAAAATCTAAAGCAGCATGGAAAGGAAGTAGCATTTGAGAGTCAAACTCGTAGAAAATAGGAATGATAATGCACCGACGACAGATAGTAATGCCATTTTGTTTCAAGCAGGTATTAATTCTGTACTTCTACATGGTTCATGTTGTTTTAAGAGGAAGAAAAAGGGAAAGGCATACAACGCTAATCTGCACAAACAATCACTGATTTTTCATCATTGCAGCCAATTCAAATTCTATTTCAAATGAAGGATACTTTCACTTAATCCTGATAACCATGTTTATGAAGATGAGCTCCCATCTCCCTATAAATACAGGTTTACTGATCTCAATAGGAGACTTGTTATGCGGTGTCTGTCTGATGGGCCATAATTATTTCTTGGCTGCAGAAACTCCCCAGAATATACCTAAGGTCCCACTGGTTATCAACTAATTTAATTAAGCCTTATGTTCCCCTTTTTTTGTAATAGTTTTTTTGGAGTTTGATCTACATTGTTGTTAATTGTCATGATTCATGCTACTGCAGAAGGTGGACAGAAAAGAAAGATTATGCCACACAACAGTCATGTAGCATGTCTTTGCATATGTAGGTTCAGTTAGCGAGACTAAATGTTATCAGTATAACTATCATCCTAGTGGGCCTTAAGATGAGGAATAAAATCAAGTCAGATGTCATACCGGAAGACCAAATGCCATGGCTTCAATTGTCACTCTCCCAAAAGTTTCTCCCAGTCCCTGTACACCATTTTACATATAGTGTTATTTCCAAATAATATAGGATAATGAGTTAAATGAGTACAAGCATAAATCAAGATTATAAATTCAACTGAAATGAGAAGTGGGGTTACAAACACAAAAAATTAGATTTCCAAGAACAGAATCCATGCTTTAAACAGAACAATAGCATTTGGTGGTATGCATACATGCATTATCCCAGATGAAATCTACTAGGGGGTTGAACCAATAATTTTGCAGTTGGATTACAAGAGCCGGGTATTATTATTATTATTATTATTATTTGTGTATTTTTTTTTCTTGACAAGATCATTGGATTGATATCTACAATAGAATTCATGAATTTGCAATACAGAAGAAAAGTCTGAATACTTGAGAGCAGTCCTCGCTAATACTACAAGGCATATCAAACTTGTGCACACAGTGGAGTGCACACAAGCTGCTCCCTGTTCAATATTTTTCTTTTTGCAATGACCTTATATTAAAAAAAAACAAAATCAATCTTCAGAGAGATCGCAAAATCGACCTTATTCTATCAACAATTGTTTGACATGATTCATGATCAACTGACTTGTTCTCAGTTAATACCAACAAAGATACCATCTTCTCATGTGGAAAAGGAAGTTCCATGTGTCTGTCCTCAGTTGTGTTACATCTTAAAAAATTAGACTGACAAAATATTTTTATTCAAACAAGCAATACTACCATACATAGTGTGCTTCTATTATGACATGGGACTCCACCATTTAAATGCGTAAAATCACAGTTGAATTTTTTTCTTTCCCCTATTTGCGCATTATATATAATTAATTTAAGAAGCCAAAAACCATAAACATCAGCTGACATAAATAAGAGCACTTAAGACTACGAAGATGGATCACCTGAGAGTTCATGACATAAACATCAGCTGCAGAGTATAATGCAGCTACACGTGTGGTTGCCGGAGTCCACAACACTGACTTTGACATGTTTGAATGCTGAGATAGGAATCCTAAAAGTTCTTTGACATAAAGCACCTTATTGCTCTTAGATCCAACAGAACCAATAAGAAATTTAACAGACCGTTCCAGTGTTCCTCTATTATCCGACAACACTTTCCTCTTATGAGTGACATTGAAGGTCAAATCACCTGTATCATCAAAAGAGGTATAGAGACTACGTAACCGCAATTTTTTTTCCTGGGGTTCATTCAACTGGACATCAGATTCATTGGACAGTGGTAATTCATTTGATGATAAACCATCATCATTCAACTCTTGAAACAAAGCTCTCAAGTGATGTTTTCTAGACAAGGTAGAGCGGGCTTGGCGTTTACGTACTGGGTTTTTTATCTTAGAATTATATTTCAGAGGTTCTTCGATCACCAAGCGTGCTGATTCAAGAAGCAAGAGCTGCCCCTTTCCAGGGTTTATGCTGCTCAGAGACATTACAAGCATATCATTGTCTGTTAACCCCATTTCCTTTCTGACTGAATCTCGCAATAACTGCCTTTTCTCAAGCATCTTCTCAGTACTAGAAGATGGAGTATTAAGTGAACAACCTATGCCAGCTACAAAGGCCAGCTCATCATTAATAGAGAGTGGTACAACTGCAGGCTGAGACCTCAGCTTAATCTTTTCTTCTTCGCACCAATCTAGCCATTGTTTAGACTGTGATTCTGATAGAAAAGCCAGCATTTTCACTCGGTTAAGCACAACCTTCGCCCGATCGAAGTATTCTCTCCGGTTTTCCATGATCCACCAAGCAATTTGACTTGCACCAGCTGGAAAATGATCCATGTATTGATCTGAAATAAAATGTTTATTGTCTATTAGTATTGTAGTACACCACATGATACATGCAAACAAAGCCAAAGCAAATCAGCTTCACACTTAAGAATGGCACTTTCTGTCAATTAATAAAATAGCTAAGATGATTGTCACTTAGTTTAACAGAAATTTTAATGACAAGAAAAAACCAATAGAAAAATAAAGTGTTAAAAGAAGGAAACCATGTAGATACAAATTAGAAATTACAAATGGAATAATGACTGGAAATTAATATCTGATGCATCCCAGAGAAAAATGGAGGTACAGTTGATTAGTTAATATTATGCACTTTAAACTTTTTGAGTTCAGCAAATGCACTGAATTTAAATTTTACAAATTACATTAACGGATTTTTGGAAAATGGTTCTCACCAATCCATGATGCACACACTGCTGACCCGGCGATGACTAGATCTGCCTTCATGGCAGTTTTGAAGCTTTGTTCTACTTTGTCCTCAAGCACCTTTATTCTTCTCCTTGCTAGCTCTGACATCAAGCCACCCTTCTTGCTAAGAACTACAGCAGAAACCGTGGCTCCACAGCTCAAAAGCTCTGTTGCCAGCTCCATCATAGAAAGTGGAGCCCCAGTCATCGAAAGTTCATGGAATATTAATAGAAATCTCCTAGACCAAACAAGACGTGCGAAGTCCCCCTTCCTGTCACAGGTTCCAGACCGCGTTTTAGGACTCCATTCCAAAGTTCTATCTTCTAGAAAGCCAAATGGACCAACAAGCATCCCATAAGAAGTATTTGTCTTAGGAATGTCCAGTTCCTGCTCCTCTGTCTCATGGCCTTCAACCTCCGCTGTTTTCTTCTGCTTACCATGCACTTTACCACGTAGACTACGAGCTGATTTTTTACTCCTCTTCTTTGAACTTGCGCTTCGACGAGATGAAACTCCGTTCTCCTTTTTCATCAAAACCACATCTATCCTTTTACCAGCTTTTACCTGATTTTGGTTGGTCTCATTCTTAACTGCCATAGAACTGTCACTGGCAAGCAAATCTCTCCTCACATTCTGTTCAGTGTCTGAGTTTCCATTGCTTGCTTTATTTCCAAACCCCAAGAAGTTCTCCTTGTTGCTATGAGCCCAACTGGACTGAAAATAAAATCCAAGATAAGCCCAAAGGGTAATCAATAACAACCAAAACAATAATCGATTGCTCCGAAACCACTGCACACCTCCGCTGCTTCTAGCTTCTCTCCGTGGAGTTCGGCTTGAATTCAATCTCCGAAATGAAGGAGAATTTCGCGGGCTTGATCTTCCTGACAATGTTGACTTAAAACTTCCACTTCCCCTCAATGACTTATGATCTCCCCTACTGCTTTCCTCCATTGGTTTGTTTGACTATTCTATGTCACCAAAAAGCTCAAACCACATTGTTCGAAGAACATCTATCACTTAATTTGGTAGCAAGGCCTCTAAGAACACTGCAACTGGTTAACCTCTTACAGTGCTTTGAGTTGCTGCAACAATTAAGAATAAATAAAATTCATTATCCATAAATAGAAGCAGAAAACCCTTGTTCAACCATTGAGAACACTTTTTTTTTTTTTTCTTAAAATTTCTAGCTTCTCTCCGTGGAGTTCGGCTTGAATTCAATCTCCGAAATGAAGGAGAATTTCGCGGGCTTGATCTTCCTGACAATGTTGACTTAAAACTTCCACTTCCCCTCAATGACTTATGATCTCCCCTACTGCTTTCCTCCATTGGTTTGTTTGACTATTCTATGTCACCAAAAAGCTCAAACCACATTGTTCGAAGAACATCTATCACTTAATTTGGTAGCAAGGCCTCTAAGAACACTGCAACTGGTTAACCTCTTACAGTGCTTTGAGTTGCTGCAACAATTAAGAATAAATAAAATTCATTATCCATAAATAGAAGCAGAAAACCCTTGTTCAACCATTGAGAACACTTTTTTTTTTTTTTTCTTAAAATAGATTCTCGAGTCAAATCAGTTTTTGGAATCTTTCTTTGTGATCTTAAATAGCTCAAAGATTCAACTTTTAATTTGTCCGAGAGTTATTTGGCGTTCTGAGCAATCAAACAGAATAACTGCATTCAGCATTCCATGTTACACCAAAATATAAAAACCACACAGATTCATCCATCGTTATTTTAGCACCCATAGCTATCTATGAAGATTGTACCATTGAAAAACTTAGTTTTCCCTACTAAAAAATAATAAAGGAAAGATAAAAAATCAAGACCCAAAATTTCATTTTTAATTTTTTTGTATTTTACCTTTCCAGCATTGTATTCGCAATGAAACACAGCCAAACAAAGAAAGAAACCACTCGGGCTTAAAACTTATTGAGAAAGATCAACTAACTTGGACTTCATTCATTTTCTTTCCCTCCATTTTCTCGGAAGCGACTCCAAGAACTGAACCAAAACCGCCCAAAGACTCGCAGATCAACACTTAACCAAAATATAATGCAATTTTTTCAAAGCTCATTCATCGTCAAACCTCAAAAAGAAAATTAAAAAGATTTCAATCTTTTGCTGTTTTCTGGTTTTCTACAAGATTCGCTGATTCAGTTATCAACTATGAACTTCAGGGCTGAGAGATAACTTACATGGATTTATTGCACGCTCTGCCCTCTGAAGCTGAGACGTCAAGATCTCCAAGTTCTTGAGAGAAAAATATAGAAGTTGCAGAGAGAGAGAGAATGAGTTAGTGAAAACGGAATGGTTTAAAGGTTTTAGAGAGACAGAGAGAGTTATTATGTCTGAACTCTAAATTTCAACAGATTTTGATCGCACGTGCGAGTCAACCCGTGTAAACGGATTCAGAAGCAAGTCTGGTGTGATTCCCTGCGGCAACGACTATTCTACAAACATGCGTTCGTGTCCAACGACTGCAACATCGATCGCTTCGGGCCCCGTGGACAGCCTGCTTAGACAGATGTTTCGAGGTTATTGAAGTTAACCTGCCTCGAAGAAGAAAATTGTCGGCTGGAGCTCCCATGGTGGCGTCGGTGGGTCTCACAGCCAATCCTGGCCCTGCAATTTATATTGTCATTTCTGATTATTTAATTTCCTTTTGGACCCAACGCTGACCCCACAAGATTTAATTTTTAATTTTATCCTAGTGTTGTATTATTCTTTTTTGTTATTTTTAATAAATAAAATCTTGCAAGCATTCTGCATGTTGTGTTTGATCCCAAACAATCCTTGCAAATTTGTTTAGGGTATATCGAAACTAGAATCTCGGGTGCAGGTTATTCAATCAGACTTGGAAAATTCAACGTTAGATACAAATACCCATCAATTTGAAATTATTATCACCCCCCAGGATGCAAATTATGCTGTGCTGCATTGAACATCCTTTAACATGCAAAAGAGCACTTCAAATTTCAAACTACTGGTAAAAAACACAACACAATACAATGAGAATAAAAAAATACAAAGAAAACTGATTAATTCACCCATCATAGCTACACTGAATACAGCATTGGTAGTTCAATGATCAAGAGAAAACTCTAGCTTTCAATATTCATGCAGGTTGCAATTCCTCAACTAAACAAAGGAAAGCCCAATACAAGGGGAAAGTACCCCTCAAAGCCAGGAAAAACTACCAAGGTCAACTTAACAATGTAAATATAAAAAATCCCATGTATAGAAATAAAAGAACACTTCTAGAAACCCCACCGAGAAACACTGCCGCTGCACTATAAGTCTTTGTACTTTTTTTTTTTTCAATTTTCTTTATCTAGTAGTTTATGAGGAAGCCCGTCTACGTTTCTCACAAGCTTTTCAATGAAGAAGCAAACCACAAGAAAACCTGAAAACAGAAAAGTTGCAACAATCATCAATGCCAATTCGCAAGGACAAAAAGATGTTAAAGTTTCTTTCTCTAAAACAAATTCCTACCGAACATTTAAACAAGGAACTGCCACCCGTCAAGCCACAATATTGATCTTAAAGTTAGTGCAGCATGAGCAGGTGTTTGTCATTCATAACTGCAAGAACAAAGAGAGGGGAAAAGAGAAACAGTGGAGAGAGACAGGTAAGCGTAAAACTGAATTAATATTTGCAGTAAAAATGACTAAAAGAAAAATAGGAATTTCAGTTTTCAGATTGTCCAAGTACAGATTAAAAAAAACACGCAATGGTGGTTGGATTGTCTAATTCTTCAACACTACACATACATGAAATCTAATTCTTCTTCTGCAGATGCAAATGATCACCTCAAGAATTGCCCAGATGAAAGGAGGGGGGCAATCCGTTATGAAAATCTCACATATTTGTAAATAAATAAAATGTCATTACTTATGGAAGAAATTTGGGCATAATATACAGTTTGCTCATTTCAGATGCGAACACATTCAGTCAAAAAAATCAAGCATAGCAAACTCCTCTCCATATAAAATTATCAGTTTGATGTGCCAAACAGTAAAACCCATAGAAAACCAAATTAACCAAATACCAAGACTCAGTACCTAAGATATCTTTGAACACATCGGCCCAAAGTGCTCCATAACATAGGCTGAAGATCACAAAGGGCTTAGACGATGGCCTGCAGCACCATATGATCACAACTTATAACTTTGTCACACCCGAAATAGCAGAAAAGTTAAATTCGGGCAAAGATAGAACCTTTATCAACTTATTCAAACAAGCTCCGTATTATTTTGAAGTACTTCACTGGCCACGTTCATCTGTGAATACCTGCAAGTATAAAAAGAAAATAAATTCAAATCACAACAAAAGGCAGAAATACATAGCATGAACCCCACCACTCTAACCCAACCCTGGATCAGGAGGGAGCAATTCTGGAAAGGAAAAAAATTTGTGCTTGATAACATCATAGTGACTTGCCTACGAGGCTTATTTTGTCGCTGCCCATACTCATCGCCCACAATTTCTGTACAGGAAAAACCTTATGTTAGTCTACAACACTGTAAAAATAAATAGAGTATTTAAAAGCCAACCCAAGGGGGCCAAGAGTAATAACAAAGGTGAGAAGCAAAACTAAAGATAAGGTAATGTTATACCTGGCTTTTGTGAAGGCTTCCATTCGTTATTGGTTTTATTTGCATTGTTCTCTTTGCTGAAAAACAACACACAAAAATTTAGAAAGGTACATAAGGATATTTTCTTTAAGAAAATAAATAAAAAATAAGATCTCCCGACCATGTGGAAGTAAAAAGAACCCCTTAAACAATTATTTCAACTTGAACAAGGGAAGTTTAAATGAATGAATTAATATATAAATACAAAAAAGACAATTCTTAAACAAAGCAAGAAAAAATACAACACATCATGTTGAAAGAGAAAATTTTAACAAGATAAGCTTAACGCTACAATAAGCAGGTTATGATACAGGATAGAACATTATCTCAGAATCATAAATAGTCAAAGAGACGACCATACTACCAACCTTAAGGAACCCACAGAAGATGTTTGTCCCGATGGGCGAGCATGATAAGAACCATCAACAGAGATATAGGGTGGACAATATGTTGCCCCCAATGCTCCCGCAGCACCCGCCAACACAGGCAACCTAAAAAGATTCAAGTAATTACCACCACAGTAAAGAAAGAAAAAAAAAAAGAATCATCCCATTAGAAGAGAAAAAACATGGCATTGAACTCCATCCTCCTAACATTTTGGTAATAAAGATCTTGCAGATATTTTAGCAGGACAGATATGAGTAGTTCCTTTAAACAATGCAAATCCTTGCAGGAATGAAATACAACAGGAAAGATATTTAATCTAATCCCCTTTACCGTAGGCAATAATTCCTCATGCAAAGTTTCCAACCACTATGTGAGCTAGACATAGACTTCCCATAAACAAGATCTAAAAGAAGACGATGCCAAATAAAGAACCTATACCGGCATATTAAAATAATTACCATACCATGTCATTTCAGGATTTCCTAAACCAAGTTGTGGCTGAGCAACGTATCCAGGGAATGCCATGCCAACAGCAGGAACTCCCATACCCCCAGGATGCTGGCCCCCAAATTGCATAACTGCACAATCATCCAACCAGATGCAATCTCAAATTATATTCTACTCAAAGCTTAAATATTAGAAAAAGAACCAAGCTAATATGCAATATCATGTAGTCTGCATATTCTAGCTAATGACAGTCCCCATCAATAAACAGTTCAGAGAAGCAGTGGTTGTAAAAGCCTATAATTGTGGTGTAATACACCACAGGGAAAAGATTAATGATTAGCTTAGCAATATGTTTTCCCCCCTAAAGTTTACACTTACATTTCAACAATTAAGGGTCCATAAATATATGATTTCATAGAAATTGAGAACAGAAAAGGCAATGCAATAAAAATACCAGGCAAAAAGGCTGGAGTTGCAGGAAAGTTCTGATCTCCATGAGCGGATCCCATAACCTGAGCTCCACCATAAGTAAGAGTGCCCCTTCCACTACCTTGAACACCACCTTTTCCCTTTGCAATCAGGGCACCTTTAGATTTACTTGAATCTGAAGGTGATTCAACTTCTCCAGATTCAAAGGAGTTTGGTGACATAGTTGTTTTGGGTGGAGAGGAAGTTCCAGATCCACTTCCAGGACGCTGTCCCAACTGCTGAGCAGAAGTTTGTACAGCCAATTGAGATCGACTTTGAACAGGATTGCGATGAACTGCATGGTGATGCGTTGTTGACTGAGAAGCTCTTGTCATTTGATTTTGAGACACGGCCGGTTGATAGCTCATCTGTCCTGGGATAACACTCCTTCCTTGAACCCTGGACTGAGGAGCTTGCGTAGTATTGGCAAATGATGACCCAGAAGATGGCATTTGTAAGTTGGTCAACGTCTTCCCAGCTGGATTGACGGAGTCATCAATATAAAGCTTGTCCACACCAACAGATTCAGCTATATTCTTCCCTCGCAGCAGCGGATTGGTTTGCGGAACATGGAAACTGTCCTGCACTACAGATGACCGAACATTCCTCTTACCACTCCCAGCCTGTACATCCCGTTTTTGGGTCAGAGTGATGTCTTTATTGGAACTGGAAGAGCCTGATGGGTAAAAAGGAGGAGAAAAGTAATTCAAGCTCGATGCAAAGACATTTTTCCTAGCAGGAACCAGGTCAGATTCTGCATTTGATGTGGAAGTAAATGTTCGTTCTGAATTAGTTTGCATGTTTTTCTCAACAGGCTTTCCAGATCTGAAAATAAGAACAATGTGACAGATGATTACAAACAAATCATGAATTGGATGCAGACATGATTAGTGCCATGAAAACAACTTGTACTCACTGTTTGTTTTGTGTTGGGGGTGTCTGTCTGTTATTCCTGAAAGCAGGTTCATACCTTCTGGGCCCTCTCCCTCTCACACCCTTGGGTACCTGTCTCTGATTATTATTGTCAAATTCTTTAGACCTGTTGCCTCTGGTAAACCCACGATCAACACCTCGGTTTCTTCCACGACCTACATGAGGACCCTTAGAAGGTTTCTTTCCCTGAGGTGTACATCAGAAAGTCAGGTCAAAGATGGATAAAGATATTTCATACAAAATATTATGCAGAATGACCGTCTATACAACCATTACCTCTTCGTTGTGCCTTTCATGCAAAGTTATCTCCTCAAACTTATCATGCCCCCATTTCCTTTCATCTTTGGACTCCCACAACTTCCTTCCACCATGTGTTCGTCTATTAAGAGAAAAAACATATCAAATTATTGCATTGATACACAACATAACTAGACCCAAAAAAACAAAACAAAAAAGAATGGCAGGCAACCCAAAACAGGAAAATTTTAATTATAAAGGTTAAAACTAAAATACTAAAGTTGGCATAGGTAGCTCGATGGGATACCACAAGGAAAAAGCAATTCTGTCCATCCAGATTTTCATTTCATTTTAATCTTATACAGATTATAAACTGATGCACAAAAACTTCTTCAATTTTAATAATAATAGTATGTACAGTATGAAGTAAAAATGATAAACCAGTGTATGACACAGCAGTGGTGGTGAGAAATTGTT